ATCCCAAGCCCGACCTGCCTGGGGGGTTTGGGAGCCAGGACTCCCCTTGGGGCTGCCCATCCCAGCAGGGAGCTGCCCCGTTCGGGTCACCCCACGGCAGCAAGGGAAGGCTCCAACAGCAGCGAGAAAAGCCTGAGATTTATTTCTATGTTCGTTTATCAGGCCAGGAGAAGGGCTGGAGGAGGCTCAGCTCTGCCTCTCGCCAGGGATGGTCACCAGACCAGGGCAGTGTCCTCGGGGACTTTTCTGGCCTGTGAAGCTGGCCAGTGTTTGGCCCCCAGTTCCACAGCCCCCGTGAGCACGGGGGGAAGGGGCTCGATCAGACCCGGCACCAGCCACAAACCCGGGGTCCCTTCCCTGCTCCCCCTGGGCCTGTGGCTACCAAGGCTTAGAGCATGAGGTGGGGTGAATCCAGCGGTAGCCATAGGGGAGGGAACAAAAGAAAAACAAGCTAGAAAATCCTGACTTTTTATTTCCCAGCATCCAAACACCTTACAACAGCATGAGTTAGCAACAAAAACTGAGCTCTCTCTTCCCCTTCCCCCCAAAAAAAAGGGACTTTTTTTTTTTTTTTCCTTAGAGCCTGAATCGTGCTGGATGTTAAGGACTTTTGAAAGACAGCCAAAACCTGACACTCCAGGCTTAGGATTGTTCTCTCCCCCAGGCACTAAGCAGCTTTCCTGGCTTCTGGGCACTGCATGGGCCTTGCCCCTTCCTCCCCTTGCTCCTCAGAGCAAAACAGCCGGGGTGCAGGAGGGTGCCCACACCGGGGACCCGCAGCACAGCACCGACACGGGGGCGAGGGCTCTGCGTGCATCCTGCACCGGCTGCTCCAGCAGGGCTTACAGAAGTCTTTCTTCCACCACCATTTTAACGTGCCTGCCTGTGCCAAGCACCAGAACTAGCCGCCCCTGCGAAGCGACGGGAAGAGCAAATGGTCCTGGCTGCTCCGGCAGGGAACGCTTGTGCTGCTGGTCGGGCAGCGGGGCCGGGCGGGGAGCCAGTGCCAGCCCCTGCTCCAGCAGGAGGGAGGCACTGGGAAGCTTTGAAAGGGCAGTTCAGGACGCTTGGGGTGACCGGGAGTTCACAGGCCTGTTGGCAAGGCAGGTTGGCAAACGGAAAAGGACGCCAAGGTCTCACGCCTGGAGAACAGGGAGCCTCTGGCTTTGCAGGGAGGCGGAAAAGGGCAGGTGAAATTTCTTCCAGGAATTTTGCTTTGTCTCAAATCCACCAAAAAAAAAAACCAAACCAACCCCCACCCCAAAACAAAATACACAGTTCAACCCAATTAATGCTTTTCCGAGAGGCGCTGCACAGCAGAGCAGCCCCTGCCCACCCCGTTATCACCTGCTCAGCTCAAGGAAGATCTGAAGCTCCCAGGTTGAATCACCATACCAAGAGAGGAGCAGCGGCTGGGAAAGGCAGCTTTCCCCCACCTCCCTGGGCAGAGCAGAGCTAAACAGCCAAAGCCACCTTCTTGCACGATGTCTTTTGAAGGGCTTTTGTATTTAGCAACGTCCAGAGCAGCAGTAAGCCATTATAATTATGTCCTGGCATAAAAATATTGGCCACATGTTAAAACTTGAAGTAGGTCAGGCAGCCATCTGGTCTTGCTGACAGACCTCCACGGCCATAGTTAAAGATTCTCGCTTTAGAAACTTTACAGCTTGGATAAAAATCTGAAAGACCAACCATAAACGGATGATTCAGCCACTGCTCCAACTCCAGGGGTCAGAAAAACCACAGCCTGACATTGACTGGCTCCTGTTTTAAAAACAGCTAAAGCTTTGCCTACTACTTCTAATAATAAAAAAAAAAAATCTGAATTCCCCAAATGTGACTGTCTCAGCCTCCCACCCAAGAAAGCATCAGCAGTGGGGGCAGCCGAGGAGCCACCTCCTCCCCACCGTGTGGCTCACTCGCCCCTGGGAGCAGGCAGGATCAAGCCCCTGTACGGGCAGCTCTGCAGAGCAGCACGCTTATTCTTGAGTGAAAGTCACTCTACCTTTGTGTGGTCGAATTTCAGCTAAAAGACCCCAACCCTCACAGCAGCTGCAGCCACCAAACACACCCACCGAGCCCCGCAGCTGCCCGCTCACCCTGGACGAGCCATCCCTCTCCCCAAGCCCCCACCGCACCCCGGGGAGCCGAGCAGCTCTCGCCAAGCACCCCAGCGAGGCCAGGCCCGCAGAGCTCAGCGTGACTGGGATTTAGGGGGAGTTCAACAGCTCAGACAACCTTAGGTCAGGCACAGCTACCCCGGGACAGCACGTGCTCAGCCCGGGGCTACAGTCAGCGGCTTATTCTGCCAGAAAAGCTACAGCAGGGCTACAGGGTAAATAGAAATAAGCAGGTGGAAGAAGAAAACTGTTATTGCACTTGCTGGTTCAGGCAGCCAGGCCCACTCGAGCCTGCACAGGGGCAAAGAGAGACCTTTACCTCCGCCCTTGCTGTGCCAAGCTTGCCAGCGCGAGCCTTTTTGGTAAGACACGCAATACGCTGCACAAGGGATGCTGCTGCCGGCAGCGGAACCGCTGAGGATGGAGCTCCCTTTCAAACTGTGGTAAGTCATCGTAGAACCCATAAAAACCAGCCAGTTCCTTATTAGGGCCGCCCGAGGGCTTTTTCAGCGCCGTAAAAGCACACCCGTGCACGTGTAGGGTGGGGGAGACGGGATTTTGTGACACGACAGGGAAGCCCCAGCAGAGGCCGTTTTCCTTCTCAAACCCCATTTCCTCATACCTCGTGCCCGCGCAGGTTTCTGCTTTGCTGAAACTTCTCCACAGTCGCCGAGGGCTGAAGCGCCCCCTCCGTCCCCCTTGTTATGGACCGCCCAGGAGCAGCTCTGGCAAACTGGAATTCAGCACATGAAATAACCTGGAAGCTTTGAATCCGATGAAGGAAATAAAGAGGCTGACCCTTTTTTTCCAAACAGTTCACATTTATTGATAACGATAAAAAAAATCTTTTAAAGACTATCTGTATTTTATTACCAAGAATGAGGTATTATGTATACAAAACATTTACAGAATTTGATATGCAGTTCATGAGTACGGACAGGGAAGTGCAGATGGACACCGATAACAGGAAAAAAGCCAACAGAAGAGTCATTGGCCAAGAGAAGGAAGAAGAGCAACAATATCACACAAAGAAAGACCAGGGTATGGGAAATTAATTAGACTGAAGTGATCAAGTCATATTGCCACAGCACTTTGCTTAGAGGAGGATTAACTATTGTTTTTCTGGAATTTTATCTCCCCAGCCGTTTGTGCTGTCATGTGCTTTGAGCTCTAAAAGATGTGTTAAGATCAACAGCAAGAAAAACCCGAAGTGTCACTTTTGAGCCAGCTCAAGTGAAAAAACAAAATACAGATCTCCAGACTTGAAAAGTAACTGCAACTCAAAAAGGTCTACAAAGCCAGACACCTCTGGACAGATGTGCAGTGTTGGATGAAGATGTTTCTTTACAGTTGTCAGCAAAATCACCATCTGAGAGAGAGAGAGAGAGAGAGAAAGAGAGAGAGAGAGAAAGACAGACCGACCCAACGGGGACTGTCTTCAACCCTTACAGCCCGGGAAACGGAGAGCGGCATTTGCAGAGCCTTGGGTGTCAATAGGTTCACCTGCGCCTCCTGCTGCACTCACTCCCCTGCGACGGGGAATACTGGTTCCTGCCCGGGGAACACTGGTTCCTGCCCGTCAAGAATCAACCCCCCTCTCCAGCCAGCCGGGCTCCCCCCCGGCAGACAGCTCCAGCAGCAGCCACCGCAGGGGCTGGCTGGTCTACAGACGCTGGGCGGGGGGAGCTGCCCGACACCGAAGCGGGTGGCCTGTCTCGCACAACAGCGCGCTTCGGCAGCCTGAAGGACAGTCTCACCTCCAATTCCTAAGTCCAAAGAAAGACAGAACGGACCAGTTTGGTTCAGTTTAAGGAGACTGGCCTCCCAGCACCTCTAAATCCGTTACTAAAATACTTTGTGAGCGCTGTTTGCCACATTACACAGCCCAAACTGCTCCGCAGGAGAAGGTGAGCGTAAGCTGCCTCTCTGAAGTTTTGCAGTCATAAAAAGAGATTGAGACCGAGTTCAGAACCAGCTTTCCTCAGGCAGGGCATCCAGTATCTTAAATTGAGTTCTGCTTTGAAAGTGCAAGACCTCCACAAGCTCCTCTACCACTTACCCACGACCGTGCTGCCTCCCCAAGACCTAACAGACCTATCCGGCTTCCTGCTGGGGCCTGCAGCCAGCACAGTACCTCCTTTTCGCCTGGATAGATAGTCTGGCTCTAAGAGGGGGAGGGAAGGCCAGGCAGGGCCTAGCTATGCAAATCCTGCTGCGTTGGCTCAGCACTTCAGTCTTTTGTGCCTTTTGCTGTGTGTGGGAGAGAGGGCTCGAAGTGGAAGAATACCCGAAGAGACTTGAACAACAAGAGTTCAGGTAGGATTGCTGGGGCCTGGGTAGAACAGGGACAAAATCCAAAATGGCATTTCACCAGTAGCAAGAGTGAAAATGGTCAAGCAGGCGCCGCTTAGAGCATCTTCTGCCTTATCACTCAAGAGGGAAGATCCCTGTGCTCCCTGCCCGCTGCTCAGAACAAAAGGGCTGTTTCTGACAGCCCAGGGAAGGACAGGAGGCAAGAGGGACGGAGAAGCGCGCAGGAAGGATGTAAGCCAGACCTCCTTCAGACTGCTTTAAGCAGCAAGCTTAAGCTCCGCATAAATTCCCCGTAAGAACAGAGTCTCAGTAAAATCAATTCACGCGGAGTGCACTAACGAAGGGGAGCGAAGCTCCAGCCGAGAGCTGGGAACAAATCCTCAGACCAATCCGGGATCAGTCTGGCGTGACAGGGTGAGGGAGAGCCTGCTCTCTGCCTCTCTCTCTGCAGTGCTTGGAGTGCAGATCCAAGGAAAGAAGGAATTGCTTTAACCCATCAAGACCCAGAGCTCAGATTCCCCAAAAATGTGCTCGTACAAAAGGTATTAGTGTTGACAGCCTGGCCACAGCTCTGTGGGCATGCTTTGAAAAAAAACGGACTCACAAAGTCAAGTATCCAGCAACTGCTTTCCTTTGTCTCGGACATCACGGTAGTGGCAATGGGAGAACAGTTTGCAGTACTGGAAGATCACAGGGGATTTCTTAAGATGGCGAGGAATGTCCTGACAGGAGACTTGCAGTTGATCTCTAATGCACTACAGAACATTTTTGGTAGGGTTTTTCTCTTTTTTTTTTTTGCTTTTTAACATTTACACAGTTAAAAAAAACCTATTCTTAACTGATGCACGGGTTGTTTTTCCTTTCAGTGAGAGCCCTTGTGTTCAGAGTCAGGATTTGTGCAAGCACACTTGCAACAATATTTATGGCTGAGTTAGAAAAAAGGGTTAAAGAGACAAGCTGTTGGATCTAACAAAGAACCAAAACCACTAAGTTTAAAATTCAAACAGCTACTTTACTATCTATAAAAAGGCTTTTGTGGGGTGGGTTTTTTTTTGCGCCATTGCCAGTTGAATATGCTGTATTGCAGTCAGCTGCCACAGGCGAGGGTCCAGCCATCTCATCCATTTGCTTTTCATCTGTTGTGGCACTACCTGGAAATCATGGAGCTGGAATGGGACTGGCTAGAAGAGGTGGTGGCAGCACTGAGCTGGGAGAATCCACTGTGGCTTGATTCAAGGCTGGTCATAGATCCCCTGCAATAAAACCCAAAAGCAGTTCTAAGCTTCAGAACATACAAAGATTTTGATGTCTGCCATGAATCTATATTGTGTGTGTTTGCACACTGAATAAAAGCCAAGTAAGAGTCTTGGTGCAGGTGCTCAAAAGCTTTTCTGCCTCACCACACAAGGCAATGCAGCCACCAAACACCTTCTTGCAAAAACCAAATGCTGTTCAAAGCCCGAGAACTACTTTCAGTCAAGCGTATCAGCTGGCAGACAACTGGACCCACTCAATCCCATTTTGAGCTGCACCCACCTGCCAAGCCCAACAACTCACACAGCTTTCAAAGCAGAGCAAAGGGACCAGTGACAATGACAATGAGATCACTAATTAACCCCTTTTACACGTTAGCTGCCCCAGGGCACCAGTACTGGTTGAATTTTTTTTTTTTGAGGCCAAAGAAAACACAAGTCCTCACAATTTTACTTGTGTTTAAGTGACCTTGACACTGGCTTGAGCATCTAAGTATCAGAAAGGTTTGACACCAGCTGACCTTCATGAACCTTGGCCAGACATACCTGAAATCTTCAGATCCTATTACTTCTGTATAGTACATCACTTTACATTTGTGAGAGGAGACCTGTAGAGACGCTAACACATCATCCACACGAGGCAGGTTGGTTGTAGCACAGGCAGGCATGCTATGAAATTTCCACTGGAGAATGTAGAAGCCAGGCCACCTCGTCACGTGAGATCCCTGGAAGCAGCCACAGCAAAAAGGAGAAGTCAGCTTTGTTACACAAAGAGTTGCAGGCTTGAAATTTCTCTTCCAAGCTCAGAAAAACTGCCTACATGCTCATCATTTTCTCCTCAATGCCAGTATTTCAGCTCCTCAGCCGAGTGGCAGGGCCGGTCAGCTCTTCCCACACAGCATGCCGACAAAAGTTATGGTGGAACGCCAGTGGTTCCTCCTGCTTTTGGACATGTCAAGGGGTTAGGATTTAAATATACTGAAAGGACAAAGTCCTCGTTTAAAACAATATCCGTTTTTTCCATTTGTTTTCATTAACGGCCGTTCTTTGAGACTAAAGAGAGCAGTCAAGGCTCCTGCCTCACAGAAAGCGCCGTTCAGGAGGTCACTGCTCCTATTTCCAGTTTAACACCTCCAGTCAGATGACCTAAGGAGCAACATTTGTCAAAGGCTGCTCAACTCTTATTTCAAGTCAAAAGAAACAGCAGTGGCAGAGTGTGACTGTAAACACGCTGCCTGTAACATCAAACTTGGTAATTAAAGGATAGGTTGTAAATGCCATTAAGAAAACTTCAGGAACCCTGGCCACAGGCTCCTCCTTAAGGTGCCTGTTAGAGGGACACACACACAGAAGCTCAGTCTTAATTCCCAGACTTCTCTCATTGCTGAGCTAAGACACTACCATATTCTTCAAAGACAGACTGTTTACTTCAGAAAATAACGGTCAAAACTACAGCACAAACCACATCTTGCAACTTTCTGGATGCACCCTTCCTTCTAGGGGGCTTCCCTATATTCCTCGCTGATCAATCTCGGCCACTGTTGGACTGATGCGACCTCCCCTCACAGCAGAGCCCACGTACAGACCACCCCCGTTCCCCGCAGCGTGCCGCCAGGACCGTAGGCTGAAGCGTCAGCCAAGCAGACAGTCCAGAGCTGAACCACCTCTGTCGTCACTAATGACTGGGAATTAGAACATGTAGTTTTGGAGCCAGCCTCCACCTGCTCCCACAGGAGGATTCTCACCTGCACACTCTCCCCTTCTTTGCAGATAAGGGGAGACTCCACCATACTGTAATCACGCCCCAATTGCCAGACTTTGTCTATCAACTGGACGTTGTTCCCACCAGGAGATGTAATACTGTGAGCTCCCAGAGAGTCCTTTTTTGGAGGCTGTGGGGCTCTTTTGGAATGAAAGATGTTAAAAACAATGTCGCCCTTGCACACGTCAAAATCCCATGTGATCACAGATGAGGCATCCACAATCTGAATGAGAACCTGAGACAGAAAAGTCACATTAGACAAAAGCAATCTGCTCAGTAAAGACAAACTCCTACCAGAAAAGACGACAAAGAACAGAACTTTTTGTTGCTCGACTTAAGTTTTGAGTATTAAAAAGGCATCACAGATACAAATTCTCTCCTGACTGAGTGGCTTTAACACATGACACTTAGGTCTCAATTAGCTTCTGAGAATATTGATTGCCTTTGCTTAGAAGGATACGGCTTCCATCAGAATAAAAACCAGTTATATTCACTACATGGCAACATGATGTCACCAGGAATGGTCACAAACTTCAGCTACTAAAGCATCATTATGCACCAGACCTATACAACAAGGTGGAAGCATGGCAACGAAATAACCCAAGTTCTAAACCATTTTCAGTCCAAGAGACAAAATCCAGAGGAGAGGGTTAAGAAGAAAGAAGAGAAGGGGAGGCTGCAACCGTACCTCATGTGGAGCTCCTTTGAAGACACTTGCAGACTGGTAGATTGTTTCAGTCCAAAGCTTTATGTCTTCGTTTTCCAACTCTTCTGCTGTCCGGTAGAGGGACTTGGGGACCAGCCCACCCTCTGGCACTTCACACTAAAAGAATAAACAGCCATGAAAAAGTATCCCCTCTCTACATCCACACCCTGTCATGCTCTCTGCCTGCTTAGCTTCAGAAACAGAAGCTCCCATTCAGCAAGTACTCTAAAGAATGATACACAAACACAGTTTGAAGTAATTTTATAGCTTGTAAAATAAATTTATGCATGTATGATGTACGACCTGGCCTAGATGAGTTTGCAGAATTAGACACCAGAAGAACAGACCTTCTTTTACACAACAGCCACCACCACCAGCAATGACTGTGCAGCTGCTGTAGTTATCACTCATACTGCCCTACACTGAATAAAGACGTGAGCCACTTAATGCTGAGTAAAGTGGCAAAAGCGACTCAGTCTAAAAAAAAAAACCCATAGCCTACAGAGTCCTGAAAGAACTGGGGTAGCTAAATTGAAGGACAAAGGATGGTGGGGAGTTACAGTAAGTTTCCAAACAGGTACATGGATACTGCAGTCAGGAAGGTAACGGTTTTGAAGTTACAACTATCTCGACAGCTCGGTACTGGAACCGATTACCCAACTTCCCTAAGCAATCTTCTTTTATACAAAGTCTCTGGTACTGAAGTTAGACAAGCATCTGATCAGGAAAGGTTCCATAGAAGTGTTTGGGGCAGCCGAAGTGTTTGATAACTGAATTACCAGAGAATTGAAGGGATCTTTGAGAAGTGATTTTTGTTCAAATACTCAGAAGTAGAGAAAGAGACTCTGTCACTGCCTGTGACCAGCACAAAGTATTGCAGCCGTTTGCTTTCTGGTAACATTCACTTTTGCTTACTTAAGCAGTGGATTTTGCCAGCTTCTCAAGCTCCCAATTAGATAGCACAAACTCTCTGCACTGAAAGCTACTGCTGCAGCAAAAAGCAGCCCACTGAAGATAAACACATGCTCTACTCCAACACGTCCTATAGCACTTTGTTATAATTTGAGACTGTACTTGAACAGACCTAGGTGCATTTTCAAGAATGCTACAGAAATTAATCTAGAAAGCGCACAGGGGCTTAAAAAGCAAACCTGAAATTGTATTTTAACACAGCTGAGTTCAGAAAAAAATCAATCATCTCAGTGTTACTGTGACAGAGGCTCCAGAAAATTGTGCTCCTACACCTCAGTCACACCAGTGAGCCTGCGTTGTCAGAAACATTACAGAGAAAACAAACCTTACGGCACCATTGAGATGTTGAAATGACAGACTCAATTGACACCCGTAGTCTAGGCAGGAAACAGCTCTCAAGGCTCGTGACAAGGGGCTGTAAAATCAGCGTGCTGCGGTAAAGCCATGGTGTTGGTCTGCTGGGGGTCAACGTGCACATTGTGCTAGGAGACCTGGCTGTTTGTTGAGCGCTGCTAGCAGACGTGCCGCGTATTTCCTTGGGCTCTTTACGGCACCAGCTGGGTCTTTGAGGTGACACAGGCTCTTCTGATCAGCTGATGGTGACAGCTCTTGCTCAGTGCTGTGTTACCATGTCTGCTTGAACTCGACAGGTAACAGAGACTACAGCTTTCAATTGTGCTTGGCTATTTCGATACGTTACTTGATACTCATTGTATAGAAGTATTGCAGCACTTCTCTTTTTTAAAGTGGATCCAGAAGAAAACACTAAGCCTGGAATCCTACATCATAACCCCTGCCTCCAAACCACATTAGGAATCACTCTGTGCTTCTAGGCTTCTTTCTTTAGAGGGGAAAAACAAAAACCACACCAATAAGTTGCTATATCCACTAGTTTATATTCATACCATGCACTCTCCACCAAGAAAATCAGGGATAATTTCTTTATCGATGTAATCCAGCAGTCCCCCAGGACCCTGGTAGTCATTTCCAGCATAAATAAGGAATTTCTTTCTAGTGTTGTCATCAATGAATGGACTAACCTAAAAATAAAGAAAAACAGAATAGATCAGGCTTCCACGTTTTTCTTGAGTCAATTTAGAAGGAATCAGTTTGATCACATTAAGTGTTACCATCCTTGTTATGCGAAGTTCACACTACAAAGAAGCCAAATTAACTGACTAGGCAAGCAAGTTCTTAGGCAGTGGTTTTTGAATCTACTCCAGGAATCCTATAAAAGAGATATTTCCAAATGGTAACGTTTCCTGCTTATAAAGCCTGATCTCTAAAGTGCTTTTACAAACTACAAATGTGTAGCAGTGTACCGAGAGCGCTGAGGAATACCTTGAATTACAAACATACCAGTGTCCAAAGAACTGGGAATACTCGAGGTGCTCTTAGGATAAGAAGACGACCTAAAGTCTCAGGGTAATTAGCTTCGACCACCTCAATGATTCTTAGCAATGCTTTGACGCCAGGTCTCCATAAATGCCTCATGTTCAAGCCTTCTAGATCCACCAGACAGGTCCAAGAGCTGAATTTGAGAAAGACAAAAATAAAAAGAAAAATCTCAATGGCATAAAAATCCTCCTTTCTTATGCAAGTGTCCAATGTACTGAAATGTGTGGACCCCGCTGCATGTTTTGGTTTCTTCTATTTGACCTCCTTGCTTTGTGCTACCTGTAGGCACTGAAGTTTAAGGTGCTCAGCACAGGAACGCCTTACGACCGTGCCAAGCACGGTCACAGAGTACGTGCAATGATCACTTTGCACATCATGTGTATTGCCCCACAGACACTTCAGACTCCAGAAGAAGGTTAACATGAAGCCAAAAAAAGATGCTGTCAACAGCCAACCCAAATGTTAAACCGTTGCTTTTACTGGGAAATCAATTAAGTGGCCACACTGCTGCTATGAAGCGATGAATGTTGTCATGAATGTTAAACATTCATGGTGCAGATTCCTACTAACACAGTACATAGTAAGTGCCATTACATGGCAAAGGTAGCTCTGTTGTCAGATCTCAGGGAGGGAAGCTTTTTCTACAGGAAGAGATATGTTCTTAATACTAAATACTAAGCATCAGCATATGCTTTAGTTACTTTCCAAGTTCAGGTCTCACTCTGGGCATGAATTCAAGATTTACAGCTGTGCTGCACCATCTAGCATCCATTAAATTATGCATAAGGCTTCCACAGAACAGCAAACACTTCTTTGTTGCACTTTAAATGTTTAATATGCAGTCCTTTAGGATTACGTCTACAAATGAAGATCCAGGAGGCAGCACAATTTCAGTTACACATATGAAACCCATCTCTTGGATTTGACCTCCCACCAAGAGCTAGGACAGCAAGTTCTTTAACAGGGAGAAGATAAGCAGACATACCACGCATCCCTGAACCTTTACAGATTAAGGGAAGGAGTCAGAAATTGAAAAGAGTCCAAGAAACACTGTTTCTTTTCAGGGCCAGTCCTGCATTCATTCCACACCCTTAAATCTATCTGCAGTTAACACTTTCGTAAGTGACCCCTACAATGACTTAAAGATGAGACAGCAATCCATTTTCAACTGAACTTCACCTGAAGTCATGCCATTCTTGGAAAACCAGACACCAGGTTCCACAGGAGCCTCATGACCTTACCTTGGATCAAGGTTCAGTAACTGCATATAATAAATGGATAACACAAACCAGAACGGAGTGTAAGGAGCCTAGGTATGGACTACGGGTGAACAAGTGACAAGAAAACAACACCTGAAACTACTGGAAAGGTTACCCACGATATTGTTATCACAGCCTGAGTTTTTTGGCAGCCTGTACCAACATCTGCCTATAACCCCCCCCAGAAACAGAAATGGGAGTTTGGCCGCATTGCTTTGCAGGCATCCAACAGCAGAAGAGACTAGAAGCCCTAACACCCCCTGTGTAGGACCATCACGAGCATGACACCACGACGGCTGGAGCAGGTGCTGTTCTTCCCTCAGGCTTGATTCACTCCAACAGTAAGCGGGGAGGCTCTCGGTTAACTGTGCTTCTATCTGCATGTTAGATACGCAGCCTACCCTCTCCTCCTTCCGCGCAGCACCACCACATTGCCTGATGTCCCCCCCCACACGCCATGAACCAGGTAATTCCCAAAGAGCAGATCCACTGGTTGTATTTTACCTTATTGGCCTGCCAAATACTTTTGTATTCTCCTCACATCGCCTCAGTCCTTCTTCATTTATTGAAAGAACCTGTACAAGAAAACATGTTGTTTAGAGAAGACAGGCTTAAACTCAGTAGAAGGTACAAGCGAAAAAAATGTTTGTATCAAATGTTGTAAAACTACAAGCTCAAACCAGCACAAGTTTGTTTGTTTGGATGGCTTTTTTTTTTCCAAAGAAGAACTACAAATCACTACATTGGTTGATCTTACTGAAAAATAAACATGCCTTTCCATAAAAGCAGTAAAAGGTTAACAAGATCCTCTGGAAAACTGAGGCCCCAGAGTGATACAGACAAGAAGTGTCCCTGCACTTCTGCCCCCTTAAGCATTGATTTCCTATTTAGTCAGAAACTAAAGCCCCTTTTCAGGACAACGAAAGTAACCTTGAAACAGAACTAAGGCAAACCAACAAAACTTAGTACGTGGCCAGAAAGACCACTGGAAGAGAAAAAGTAAAATCCAGCCTCTGTTTCTAGTGGTTACTATGGCCATGACTGTCATTACTACGAGTCAAAAAAAAATTGCAAACCTGGAATTCTGCCAGCTTTCTACTTGGAAACCGAGCAGATCCACAATAACACAGTCTGAGCGATGCCTTTAGAGAAGGCAAAATTAGAGGCAAGTACTTGTTCTTTAAAAATAAGTTATTCTTATCCCTGAAATAGAGGCTTGACAGAATCTGAGCATGGCATTTTCTTTTCTGTACAAATGCAGAGATTTGAAGCACTGCACAAACTGCAGAAGAATCTGTGAAAATGCTAACCAGTAACTATAGGAGCTGCCAAGAACTACGCCTTTCCGCCATCAGTTTGCAGTTGGAAAAAATGCAGAAAATCAGCTACCAGGAGCTTTCAGATGTATTCAAACCAAAAACCAGACAGCCAGAGAGTACATCAAAATATCCAGTGTGATGAATGTTCTGACAGAGAAGGAAATTTCTAAATGAAAATATCACATGGTTAGCAACTTGCTGGCTCCAAAAATACTTACGTATCGAAGCAAGGCCTCTTCCCCAAGAGCTCGCACCAAGCCTTTGGTATCCATCTGTCCCAATCTCAGTACATACAGCGGGCGACCATCTGAATAACGAGAACCAATATATCAACATAATCCTTATTTTTACAGCAACAGACAATTTGAGTGAGCTAGTTTTATGATAAAAATCCACATGGAAACAAGCCACCATCAGTTCAAACTTTGTTGTACAGCTGGAAGAGGAAGAACCTGGAGCAGACGGCAATATAAACTCTACCCTGTGCAGGTACAGCGATAGACTGCCTGTAAGTGAACTGTAAAAGTTCAACAGGGATGTCTCGATGCAGAAACAGCTCCCCTATCTGCAAGGAAAAGTTCAAAGGACTCCAAGTACATCAGTACACAAGATCTTGGTATACACAATTAAAGGCACAGGACTATAATTAGGTTCCAGGACAGCTAAGATACAGGAAAAACTTCAGTCCCATTAATGTAACCCAAGAGCTGCAGTGACGGCTGTAAGCCTTCTATCACACATGACGCAATACGGCTCTAGAGAGCTTACAGCAACATTTTTGGCAGCTACACTGAGTTCTGGGAATTAATGAAATAAGGTGTTAACCCAGAGACTTGCTTTCTGCAGTATTTGCTGAAGTCACACCTTTCAGCTATGTCATTACATATGATGCGGAACTGGCACACAGCCTCACTTCTGCAGGCTACGCCTGGGGAGAGCGGACTCTGCTCCGGAGATCAGCTTCAGATGGACCCTCTGCACTCAAAGCCTCGCCTTTTCACAGTCATCTTGCTGCATACTGGGGCATCCTGCTACTGTCTAGGATACAAAGGCTTAACAACTGCATTAGCTGAATTTGAGAAGCAAAGCTTGCATTTCTGGCTCTTCATAACAGGAGTTAGTTGTCCAAAACAGCTTCCATCCTCCTCCTAAAGCTGTGATACACTTATCAATCTTTGCTCCATCTATTCTAGACACAAGATAAATAACCAACTTATAAAAATGAATATGCTAGGACACAAAATAAACAAAACAACAAAAAAGAGCTGTCTATATAAAAATCTCCCTGATGTCCTGTTGTCTGTTTAGCTCCACTTCCTTCCAACAACTGCAAAGAGAGGTATCACACTATCATTAAGTCCTTTGGGACACAAGGAAAGAAACTGTAAAGATATGCTATTAAAAATACACAAACAACCAAAACTGCAGAGTCAAGGCAAGTTATTTATTTGGCAAAGACACTACCCCCACGAAAGTTCACAGCATTTTCTATTTTATCAGGTGGTCTAAAACAAAATGTTATTTCAACATCAGCACACACTTATCTCAGAACGGACTGTTTAGCTTTTGAAACACTGAACAAAAAGTGCAATTAAGCTTCCTAGCAGGTCTCCCTCCCTCACAGATGCAATACATCCAAGACTGAACTAATAGCTTACTAACCCTGGTCCACCCAAACGGCAGAGGAAGCAAAGTCTCAGCTGACAGTGCTCTATTATCACTGTGTATTTTATATTCCATTAGAGCTTTGAGATTTAAAAAACTATTTGATTGAAGCATTCCTGTCAAAATAAAAGCCACTCACATGTATAGAAAACTGTGCTAATTGCAAGCCAAAATAATAACTTTTATTCCTTTGCACTAAGAGCTCATTCTAGCCAACAGGCTCTATAACCAGTGCTGCCTTTGCTTGAGCACTAAAAGCTATAAAGAATTCAGCTAGCTGAAGTTTGGCACAGTTACCATACGTAGGAGGAAAGGAGCGATACTGGATAAGAGGGTTTAGAAAAAGAACCCACCACTGCAAAATTTTAAATTATAGAGAATTGCTCCATTTTGAAATTCGGTTTCCATTATTGACAAACCCATGCTTTACTTGTGGGTGCTCTTCAAAAGAGATCAAAGGAACTGGAGCGGGAGTGGAGCATGAAGTTCACCACAAGACTGAAGAACTTCTCAGAAAAACATTAAACAACCCTTTGATGCATTCTGTACCTTCCTACTCACTGGCAGGACCCAGTTATGTGCTGTTGACAGAGGAAGTCTTTGCAAAGGACAAGGAACTGACAGAAAGGGAGAACTAATTCACAGGTCTTCTTCCCTACCATCTTTACAAGCATATTCTCATTTTCCATTTTCTCAGTATGAGGCCTCTCAAAGCCAAAGCAGCAGGGGAGAGCCACCCAAGCTCTTCAGCTTTACAGTGATTAAACTTCTGCTGTGTGCTCCCTGACTCCTGGCCACTGCTGCTGACAGCATCCTGTCCTGTTCATAGACTTCTTGTAACAGGAAGAGCTAGCAGAAACAATTGTGTCTAGCAGGGAAAAGACTAAATCAGAACACAGATAGCTCACACTAAGAGGTTATTTCCTTATCTAAAGACCCCAGCTTGCCTCAAGCAACAAATTCCAAAACGTTTCATTTCTATGTATGTATTAGCAACAAGATCAGTGCAAGATAAAGCAAGCAGAGGGACAGGGGACTGTGTCAGGCAGAGTCATCCGTGTTCCAAAGACCTGGCAGTGGCTCACCATACAAAGGGAATTCAGCCAAAGCTTCTTCCCTTCCTAAATAAACCTGCTCTATTTGATGGGGGTTTTTTTTTTGCAACATCCCACTTCTCATCATTAAGCTGATTGCAATGCCAAATAAGTATTCATTTATGCCATCAGCAGACTTACACAACATCAGAAACAAGCTGATTAGAAAGATACAGTTATTTACAAACATCTTTTAATCACTGGAAGAGAATATTCAGTGTTTGCATAACACCCCTCTAAGCATCTCTGAGCACTATGGAACTGCAATTAATAACTTTTTTTTTTTTAAGCTATGGCAGAGCAGAGCTCTTTAGAGGGTTAAGTAAGTTGGTATTAGCCAGAAAGATTAGGACCTTGGAGCTGACAACATCCATTTAAATGCATTTAGTAGCTAATAACCAAGAAGTTCTAACCATCTTTCCAGTCACCTCTAGTTAACAGAGGGACAACTACCACCTTTAATTCAGGACATAAAAAGGCTGTTTAATATCCACCCTATAGAGCATACCTTTGTCATGGTGATGCCAGCCTCCTGCATAGTAATCTTGGAGTACTTGAGGAGGGTTCCAGGTATCTAGAATATAGTCTACCTGGTGCTGCTTACGCCATGTCAGCGACTGGCAAAGGATCTCTCTTGCTTTATCAATGTTGAAGTCCCGGGCACGCAGGAATCTTAAAATGTGCTCATCCTTTGGGATCTATTAAAGAAAAAAACAAAATAAAACAAAACCAACCCCATTTTGTATTTGAAGTTTGAAACAAGAACAAAAAAACCAACAGAAGCTGAAAAATGTGCAGCCCTGCACCAATGCAAGAGGATGGTACGTAACACTGGAAGTTACTCAAGCAAATCAGACTTGTTTGCAACAAAAACAAGCGCCCTGTCAGGTACTGCAGCTGCCCTCACCTAAGGGATATAAAACTTTCATGAACTCCAATGTAACCATTTACACCGGTATGACCACACCGAGTCAGTCCAATTCAAATGAATCTCGGGATGAAGCACAGACCGTATTTCATTGCTAAGTAAAAGGAAGCAGAGACTTACATGCAAATCAAGCCACTGGAAAACCCCCAGTCTTGCTATCAGTGGTTTAACTGGCCACATTGCTTCCCTTTCAGTACTGCACTTAGGGACACAGATTCGAGAATATGATGTTTGGCCAAAACAAACAAATGTAAAAATAAGGTTACTGTAGAACCAGGCAGACCTATAAACCTGATGTTATTTCCCTGTGCCGGTTCACTGACATTGAGGCAGTCACTCTAATCATCTACGCACCTTCGCTGGCAAAGGCAGCTGGACAGTCACAATCAACTTCTGTTGCCACTGTATAGACTTAGTTCAGGTTTTGATCAGGGAGGGCCACTTAACAGGAACAGCTAGCCACAGAAGGCGTGGCGTGATGTCTCATCAGGTCCACCTTGCGTACCACACGTTCCGAGACAGAGCCACAAGAGACCAACAGTAACTTACTTTGCCTTTGTGCGTCTCCTGGAGCCACTGTCTCAGTCGAATGAGGCAGCTTTCCTGCATCGGCGTCAAGTCACCCAGATACCGCTTGATGTAGTCTGCATCCAGCTTGTCTAAAAGGAGAGGTACATGTGATCACAGTGGCCCTGAACTGACCCTAGTCAAAGTAGCAAGTATGTTATATGCTGGTATCTGAAGCAGAGAAGCGTCTGCTCTGTGTTCTGTGCAGTCAGGACTGAATAAAGTTTCTTTGAATCAGTGAAAAGACGAGCAAGGCTACATACACAGTCATCTTCATGGTAAACCAAGATAATTAATTCTCCTCCTGCAACTAAGTAGTAAAGCCAGATATTTATAAAAGCATTTTGCCAGTATATTCAGATTTGTCAATCCACAGCACCACAGGGCTTGCTGCTTCTGGAAATACTTACAGAAGCTTTGATCTAAAGCTCCCAGTGCAAGAATTTTCCCCAATTCCCTTATTAGCAGGAGAAGGAAGATAAAACAGAGCACTGTGTCCAGGGAAGCTTCAGCCCTTTCCTCCCCATTATTGCTATAGCTATACTCATCTCTGAATTTCAGGGCAAGTAGTAGACCATTCATTTGCAACCTAGAGAACAGCAAAGCGAAGAGTTTTTCCACTCATATCTGATCTCCTTTTGCTAAAAAGATCAGCCTGTAACAGCTATCCAAGCTGTCCCACATGTTACTGCTTTGCAAGTCTGCACTTTGGCTCTTTGTTTGGTAACGTACAATGCTAATGTGAAGATTTTCAGCTGCTCATGAGAAGCAGCACAGTGCTGAGAGCCTCTACAATACAAAGAATCCCACTAAAACAAGTCAGACCACCATACCATCCGGCGTTCCTGCTGTGGGCTCTGAGGGGCTGCTTGAGGAGTTGAGGATCTCCTTATTGTTCAATCCCTCCTTTGTGGCAGAATCTGGTATATTAATAGCGGGTGAAACTGGTCGTCTTGCGTGGGATGCACTGCTCTCCAATTTACATGCAACAGGAGGAGTCCAACGAGGAACAAAAGTTATCCCTTCTTCCTCCAGCTGCTTCAGGTAGTATTCTATTATCTCTTTTCCCTTCAAAAAAGAAAATTTACTTCAGCTACTAAAACCACCCATTTACACACAGAAAGAATCGGGCTGAAAACCCATTAAATGGCCAGACCTGTCTAAAGATTCCAGTTGAAAACACAGACCTACACACACGTGCTGCCCCAGGCTAGAGCACAGAGCCCAGCCTGTCACTCAGCTGTTAGCAGCCACGTTGTCTTTCAGTAACAGGGAGCCAGGCACCTCCTTCATGACTGCAAGCTCACCTTTTTAATATTGCTGGTGTACTGCTTCATGGCAATCTTCTCCACTGTGCTTTCAAAACCAAAAAAAGATTTTATGTCCAGACTTGCTGACTGTTCAAAACAGGTCCAGTCTTCATTGTCAGGATGAACCTATTAGTTAAAAGGAGGTCATACAGCTTAGTTACCCATTTAGTATTTCTTTCCTCACAATATTTGAAATGAGTGCTTCTTGTTTTGCAGGTTCACATAATCAAAAACATTCGCCTGGAATCTGCAGCCTTTTTGCTTCATGTGCAAAACACAGTTTGGAAAAGGTAACTCTAAAGAATAAAGAGCTGAACAGCTCTCCTACAGTCCCACGGCCAGCACAGTGCATCTTTTTAACACGAAAGGTGAGGGCAGAGAAATACTAGTGCACCAGCCAAGAGCCAAAGGACTAGCACATTTATACAACTAACACCATCTCACTCTAGATAGGGGCTGTGACTGTAGCATATCTGTGGAACGGGGTAAAGTACTCCACAGCGAACTTGCTGCTGCTGCAGGTCAGACTAGACCAAGGCCAGCGAGCCAGAGGACTGCAGCAAGCACAGCATAAGCATTTCGTGGCACTGTAGTCTAGACATGTTTGCAGCAGACATACAGCAATAGATTGTTCTCTTGTTGACCTACAAAGTACCTTAGTATTTTGTAGACTGAAACTATTTTATTTTGTTCTCCTATGATAATGCTACAGAAAGAAGTGTAAGCTTCTCACTCGGTTGACAGCTGAATAAGCTATCTTAGAGCACTCCCAGCTTTCTTCTTCACTTGTATCTCCGTTTGCCAAGAGATGATCCCGAAACAGAGGTGTTACTACTTCTGGTTGGACTTGATCTTAAAGGTCTTTTCCAACCTAAATGATTCCGTGATTGATGACGATATTCTGAAGGAAAGCCGTTTTCTAAACTCTCTTCAGCTAAAAAAAGACTTGTCTAAGGAATTTCCAGGCTGGGCTCTGGATTTGTCGTTACACAAATATCACAGAAGGCTAAATTTTTGAGCATGCAACTGTCCTCATGCCTTAAGGATCCCCTCCCCCTCAGAACACACCAAAATTGACTGGGAACAATATCAACACCTTGTAATGAGACAGCTACAGAAAAAAAACATTTCTCTTCATTTGTTTCTTCTGCATTAGGGAATGGGGAGTACAAGAATAGCTTGTGCAGCCTAAACAAGTACAAATCATAACATTTAAGAATCTTCCTGTCCTTTCATAAATTCAATTATAAAATAACTTTAATAAGAATGAACTTAAAACCAATTTCTTCTTGAATTAAAATTCTGGTTTCTGTATTTACCTACCGATTTCTTGACTGAGTAGAGCAAGGGCAAGTAGAAGTATTGTGTTTTGTACATATTTATCACATGCACTTTTCTGTACAGTATTTTCCCTGTTTAAACAGGGCTTTCACAGAAAAAAAATGCAGACGGAAAAGTATTTTTAAATGTGCCTTGGAAATAATTGCAGAAATAACAACAAAACCCCCAGATAGTGTCAAGTGGGTCTGACATCCAGTGACCTTTTAACCATGGTTGTGTACACAACAGCAAGTGTTATCATCTGCACATAAAAAGAAGACTACAATACAAACAAATCTGTCACATTTGCTGGCTTTGATTTGACCTTCAACATCGATTTGAAGTTTTACTGCTATACGAGCATGCTGTATGAGCCTACGAGTACTGGCTAAGCCATTCAGAGAAAACACACGACCGGAGCATAGCAGTAAACATGCCACCAGGCTCCTTTGTACCAGCAATCATCTGCACTGAAGACCAAGAACGATGGAAAGAATTAGGTTAAAATATAGCTGACTCGATGAACATTTGTCTGAGCTGAGCAGAAGTCAAACAATCTCTGTTGAACTTCCCTTTAGCATTTCTGTCAGGGTATCATCAGCCTCACCGAGTCCCACACTGCTATTACAGACCACAGATTTGCCTGAACAGAGCTGTCAAACACAGCAAATTAAGTTGCATTCTGCTCTCTACGAAGGTGCTCAGGCAAGAGGGTGCCAAACTTGTTTTACCCCTTCAAGCAAGTGTGTTACATTTAACACTAACAACAGTTATCACTCATGGTGGTGTGCTGGTTATTTTTTCTTGCAAGGCAAAAGCCAAGAACAACCCAACTTCTGTTTATGAGTCCTGAAATCTAAACACTGACTTAACTCCATCTGTAGCACCACCAAGAGCCTGTTACTCACTGTGTAACAGCAGTGCTCGTTAATGATGACTCTATTAGAGAAGGTTTCGTTGTAGGCTTCTATATGCAAAGTCCTTTCTCGTCTGTTCAAAGAATTCTTCTGGATAAAGTAGACATAATCCACTCCCGCAATCTGAGGAAGATGACACAGATTCCGTTAAGATACACTATGAATGTGAAAGGATACCCAAAAGTATAAACAGGCACTTCAAACCTAACCACCTTTTTCAATAGCCGTGGTGCATCTATATCCAGCTTACAGCGCCGCTCAATCACGTGGATAGCTTCATCCTCGCTCTTGTATTCGTTCACAGTGTCACTCGCCACAAACATAGGGATCAGAGGACATGTTGGAAACCTCCTTTCATACGCCTATAAAGATGGAAAGAGAAGAAAACAAGCTACCATCAAAATTAATTCCTGAGGGTGTGCGTAAGGTTCCTTTGTTGAAATCGCCAGCGTCTGGAGGCACGATGCCCTTCGTACCTTTCATAGAAGGGATTGAGCCTTCCTGGAGCCCACATTACAGCTGAAAAAAGTCACAGCGCATTCCAAACAATCCATTTATTAATATTTCCCTAATATAGCCTTTTCCAGGTAAAACAATTTTTAAAACACACAAACCATTCCATCGCTCCCCTCCCTCCAAAAAAGAAATTGTTCGTTATGTACAATGACAACTCTCTTCTCAGCAATAATAGGAAAATCAGACCCTCTAGTTCTAAAACACCACAAGACAAAACAATTACATGTTGGTTTAAAAAACCCCACATGCTAATTATCAGTGTTTCACCAAGCTGTCTAGAGGGTTTTCCATACAGCTCCCAAAGGTCTAATAAAAACATTTCAAAACCTATTTCTTAAGCTAATAGAGCTCTCGAGCTCCCTGTGCACAGAGTGTTCATAACAATTTCACTACACAGTTTGTCAGCTTACAGTTATGTCCAACAACACACAGCAAGCCTTTCCAATGCAATGAAGCCATTTCACACTTCCGAAAATTTAAACTTTTTGCAATAATGCAGAGCTAGCAATAGCTTGGATGACAGTTAAAGAATATAGATCTCAAATACTTGACACACCCAGAGATGGCATTAAATCAGACACACTCCAAAAGGACAGTTAAGAATCTGGGATCAGTAGAACAGGTAAGAGGAAAATGAGAGTTATCGCCATTAGTAAACTCATTGAATTTTAGTTTTAGAACCACTGTGGCTAGAGAATACAATACAACTGCTAGGTTGGGGTTTTTTTCCTTTTCTTTCACAGTCAGCACTGTACCTCCACTTCTCTTAAGCTTTTTTTTTTCCTCATGGGATAGCAGTAAAGTAACTAATCCTTTAGCCTTCTCTCCACATTCTGAATTCTTCATTTCTGCTGTTATCAGAATCTAGTTGGCTTTGGTGAAAAGCTAGGATTTGCAAGGTGTCCCGATGCAGAAGAAAACTCCAGTAACAAAGTAAATCTGAGAGCAGAACATGAAACAATTCTTTAAAAGAGCTAAAATATCCACTCTGCCCTTTCAGACGATTTTAACTGCTCTGAATACACCGGGGTTGCAGCACAGGAACAGCACCAACAGGGAGAGGGTGTGGAAGAAAACCACCAGCAGCTGCAGAAAGTACGCAACGGTGGCACTGGAAGACAAAAGCTCTCTTAATTCTCCCTTTATAAGAATTAAAATACTTAGTTTGTTACCAGCGTGCAAACACAGTTTGAACACAATGTTACTATGGTGACAGTGGTGCACAGTGTCAGCTTTTTTCCCCTTGTGCATGTTTTAAAGTCATTTTTGCAGCACGACTGTCCTGAGCTCACAAAGCTCCTCTGTAATGTGCTCACACCAGTGAGTGAGTACACATGCTCCTTTTTTCAGCCTTTTCATCTATGCACAGCTGGTTTTGCTTAAATTAAGAATAGAAATAATTTCTGGGTTCAGAGATGTGTGCACAATACAAGTGACAGAGCAGCAGTGTTGTAACACAATAGCAAGCAGTGGGAAAAACCTTTCACAGCTCCAAGAGAAAGGGAGGATGGGTCCTATTAATACGGTATAAGAAGTGTCTTATTTCTTTTATGAGGCTCTTGTTCTGGACAGAAAGCTATACATTTTACAGTCGTTCAAGAATACTTCAGCCCTCTCCCTGAAGAAGTCTCACCATTCTTTCTAAATTAATCCCTATTTTAGCTATATTGCCTGTAGTTAAGTGACCCAAGTTAGAAAAAGAAAATATTTCCAGAAGCAGCAGAATGGAGAGGTACTTCTGGTTTTCAGATTGCTTCATTTAATACTTTTATTTTATTCAAGGACCTTATGTTACAACAATTATTCTATAGACAGGAGAGATGGGGAAGTAGATACGTAACATTTTTTTATTTTCAAAGTATTTTTACTTTTGGAGCACAATGAATTTTCTCCATCTGAACAGCCTCCTCTATGCCAAGCCTTTGCAAGTCTCCTTCATTGCACATATTGATGCATTTCTCACCTTAGTCCTCACATTTGCCCTGTGAACACTTGCAAATTACAACATTACCTGCTCATAAGTGTTTATTGAACTGCGAGCAAAGAAGTGCCCAAGAAGAATTTATTGTTCTGAATGGGAAGACTGAATTGAATGTGTTCAATTTGGAAGAGAACAAAATAATTATCTGCCAAAAGTTGGAAAGCTCAATGCTTACAGCAACAGAGTACTTGAAGGTTTCAAAGAGATTAACAGCGACACAGGATTCTTTCTCCCTGAAGAACACGCACACAGCATATTGAAAACTGTTCGCAGTCAATTTTAGTGGGCTCTTAAATTAGGCTGGTTTTATTTCTTTATGTACCATTGCCAATATGTTCCTGTAATGCATCATCTCTTAGCACAGCCTCGTTTGAAGAAAAAGTGATTATAGTAAACCGTAGCCACATAAAAATATTCAATCTCATTTAAGCATAGCTGTCTCTTCCACATGTGGCAAATAGTTCTCTTTCACGCTGCAGAGTAGGCAGGAAAAAGCTGCTGAAGACTATAGGACACACAGATCTCACCTCACCGTGGACCAACGCAGCAGAGGAAGAAAACCTGCCATTTGTGGCACCACACAGTAAGAGACACACGAGTCAAAGCAGCACATGCTTCACCAAGACTGGAGCTATTAAGAGAGCAGAAGATTAAAGAAAGACCAAACACTGCTTCTTTTGTACTAACAGAATCTAATGGATTTTTTTGTGTTATTGAGGTGTTTTGAACCAGAAATTTTGTCTCAAGTCCAGCTTTGCAGACAGGAAACAACTGAACTGCATTATCCAACATTCCTTTACTAGTCTGATAAAGCAGAGTATATTACAAGATGCCACACATTCTTCTGTTTGATAGGTCTCTCTTTACTAATGAAATCATTAGATATTACACACCTTTCTCTCAGAATTTCAATTGCACTAGAGATACAATCACAAAAGATAATTAGCTCCTCAAAAGCAAAGCAGCTGCAGTGACCCTAATGGACTCAATGCAAGAATGAAATGCTGTTGCTGTAGGACTAAATGCATCTAAGAAGCCTGTTGGAAGGGTGTTACTTAATTTTACCATTTCCTTCTGTCACATTAAAAAAAATACAGTGTGTGGAGATTCTGATATGTAACAAGTAAAAAGCGCAGGCGTGCTCATCCTCAAAGCCTCTGTGAAACTGGTGCTGGGCTTGACGTGAAAAGTCACAACACCTCTTTGGCTAAGAGACAGCTACGCACAGAGCTTTCAAAAAACTGATTTTAGGTCTGCAATTCTATTTTTCCCTAATAATGTACTTTTACATTTTCCCACCAGCCTCTGGAACATTTGTGTATTCCCATACATGAGAAGCTGGCATTGTGCATCAAGAACAACACAGTATGGTGAGACAGCTTGACTTCACATTTAACGGGCTCATTATATAAACCCTTAACTTTCTTAATGCATGTTAACAGTAAGAACATTGACAAGCATAATTTCCACCAAAATAGCGCTGTATTAAAGCTGCTTTTCCAACTGCTTCCCTTAGCAACTCATTTTCAGAGTAGAGTCAAAATAACAGGATTTATTTTACTTTTATCTTTGCTAGTATTTCAGCTGCATTTAAAGACATGAAAGCAATTCAAAAGTAAGACTATTTTAAACCCATTGCAGTCATTTTTCATACCCAAGGGAATTATACTTGCTGCCACTGCCCTTAGATTTTGGGATTCTAATATCAGCAATAACAGGATCCTTTCAAAATACCACCTTTAGAATAGCATTTAGGTATAATCCCAACCCAATTTCCAGGAGGACCAAAGACTCTGTTTTGGCTTTTTGCTTCTTAAACCATGCTTAGGGCTAATAAAATACCTTGGTTATAGGCATGTGCTCAGTCCTCACTGCGGAAAGTCAGTCATTTATGCAAATAAATTACTCAGCCTCTCTGGCCAGATTAATATATTCCCAGGCTCCTGCCTTAAAGGATAGGGATTGTTCAGTATTTCCATTAGATGATTCAAAACTAACTTCTATACTTAAAGGAAGAAAACAGATCTGACAAAACTTGCAAACGACCTTCCATTGTGCTGCTGTTCTTATAGCAACCGAATCCTCCAAACAGAACTTCTAACCTGGTGAAATAAGTGGGAATTTTAGTCACCATTCAGAAAATGAAGCATATTGAGCGTTTTCTTAAGAGCTCAATTGCATGAACAAGCTGTTAAGATGTTTTTTTTCTTTTCGATGTTTCCTGTTCAAAATTGCTAGAACAGTAACCTTCTAGGAGTAGCACAAGATTCTCCAAGGGCACCTCAAGAGAACACATGCAGAGACTCATCCTGGCAATCTATTCTAGTCCACTGCACTTCGTGTGTGCCACAAACTTTAATTTCTGCCTGCAATACCTGACCGGGTCTGGGTACTAATCTGCAGGTGCATAACACCACTCACCATGCTCTTCTATCCACTTTGAGTATGTGGAATTTCTGAATTATTCATAAACACACAAGAAACAAGAAAGGTCACTCAAGCACGATGGTGCCCTTAGCTTGACAGGCTGCACTCCAGCAGCTTGATCATTCCTGCACATCACTATCTCCTTCCTTTCCCTGCATTAGAGCACTGTAGATCAATAAGAAGAATATTGACTCATGGGAACCAAGACTTTTCAGATTCTTGGCAGTCGCATTTGGAAAAACAATTCTGGATTAACTCCCACAAATCAGCAAACACCTTCTCATCCCTTATATACTGCTGTTCATAGTCTCTAATACATACATATGTTTAAAAATCATTATACTTCTACAAAGAAGTGCGTATCTCAGTGCCAGTCTCTCTCACGGATGCTAGTTCACATGTTAGTAATCAGTTCGGGGGTGTGTGTGGAAGAAAGCA